ATATATCAAGAGCTAATAAATACCCTAGGTAATTACCTAAACTACCTAAGTTACCTAGGTAATTACCTAAGGTATTTATTAGCTCTTGATATATATATATATATATGCGATGTAATATATTGATTTGACTAGTAGCACTATATATTATATACATGTTATATACATGCGGGTGTGCGTGCATGCGTGCGTGTGTGTGGTTGTGTGCGTGTGTATGTTTGCGTGCGTGCGTGCGTGTGTGCGCTTATTTATTTATAGAACCTTTGTGTCATTTTATGGGCACGGCATTCAAGGTTCATCAGTTCTTTATAGTGTGTGCTTTGTTGTGTACGTTGTGAGGTCGATAAAATTGACTACCTGTCATATCCTATTATTGCATATTATATTACTTTGAAAATAAATATTGGGGCTTCGTATACAAAACGGACAATTAAATGCTATGTAGAAATGCATTTTCCCACTTCTCTGTAACCTCAACATCTTTTGGAAAAGGGAAGGAAACCTTATAACTGAAAAAAATCTCTGTATTTTGTTATTATGTTGTCTAAACCTGCTACACACCTTCTATAGTGTAAGAAAAAAGTGAACAGGCAGCTGGCTATGCAATGGGTTAAATCAATAGTCAATTAAGTCAATTTAGCTATTAATCAATGGAGTGCACCTTGCTTATCATTCTATTCGGTAAACATACAACTTCTGTGGTAAGGTCATTGTTTAGCTGTTACCTTTCTGACGAAAAAATGTTGTTGTTTTTTACCTAATTCATCCCCCTGTCCCCCTCAGTACTGTCGCGAATTGACTTGCTATTGCAAGAATCCACACAGGCTCTAATACAATTACTCAGCTTAATGTCCAAACGTAAATGCAATAACCTCTGCTCGTAATATGTATATGCTGTCACTGCATTGCAGTGTAGGGATGCTAATACAACAGCTGCTTAATTGGATCCGGTTCACCACCAAAATTTCACCAATTCTAAGTTAGGCGATTTCTGAAAATTTAACCTATCCTGAAAATTTTATGACAATCCGTCCATAACTTTTTCAGTTAGGCTGTAACACAAACAAACCCACAAACCAACAAAAACACGCGGGTGAAAACATAATGTTCAATAACCTCCTGCCAACCCCTTGGCGGAGGTAATCAGGGAGTATTTAACTCCGGACTCCCGTTAATTTCGCACCCTGGGTTTTTCATCCCATGCTGTAGTGGCTGTTTTCAGGATGCAATCAATACAATAGTTTGAACAGTAATACAGTATATCAGCAAGTATTTCCTGAGAGAAATTGTTTCGTAATTAATTTTTTGTCAAAAGACTCACAGTCTGCAACAAATTTAGAAATTTCAAACGCTCATAACTTTGGGATAA